TATTACTTTAAAAAAATAATGTTTTTATTATGTTTGTGCAAATGCTAAGTGTTTGATTTAATGGTGTATACATTGTTTTTTATACATTGATATTCAGGGCCTCACATCTGCTCCATATGAGCCATGAAGGTGCTTTGCTCTTCCTTAAGTTTTACTCTGTCTTTCTGCTAGCCAAGAGTGTTTAGAAATGTTTTTCTGTCCTTGTAAACAATTGATTGGGCTCCTCCGGCCTCTCCCAAACCCGAGGGGCCCACACTTGGTCTCATATCTGTCAAGGTAATCACAATAAACCAAAACAATATTGGCATGATGGCATCATTTAACCTCGCCCCTACTGTGAGCTTGCTAGGAGAACGTCTGTGACAGTTGTGGAGTTTGAAGTGAGGAATTTGAAGGTAATTGAAGCAGCATGGGAGAGACAGCTTAACAGGGGACAGGTGGTTAGTATTATCTCACCGCCTAACCGTAATCTGGCACAAGTCACATATGAAGGGATGAATGTATCTGCTGGGCTGGAGGCAAAACTGTGCAGAGGCAGCTGAATTATTGCCGACCATTTAAATTGTTTATATGAAGCAAGATTGTTGTCTGGGAGAGTTTTTAAACAGCTGATTGCGATGCTTATACTCACTTAAAATAGTTGGGTTAAAAATGACCCAACAGATAACCCAATGGTGGGTTACTATAGCACCTACCTAATGTTGGGTTATTTTAACCCAATGGATTGGGTAGTAAGTTAGTAACCCAATGCATTGGGTTAAAAAATAACTAATTTGTTGGGTTATTTGGACAATTTTTTTTTTTGCTTTAACCATCCTGGTATTATTATTATTATTAGTAGTAGTAGTAGTATTGCTATGTAAATCAATAATAATACACAGCATACAAATATTTTGAAAACACTTTATTTCTATTACATTTAAAGTTGCAAAAATCTCTATTAAATTAAATAACAGGTTGAAATTGTCTTATTAATCACTTCCTTATCACATTAGGTTGCTTGCAATTGTTGTGCAATTTGTTTACAAGATAAATATAAATTCACAAATAAACAAACAAACAGAACAAACCTAGTACAGACAATGTAATTACAGCTGAAACAGGC